TCAGAGATCTTGATAACTGATTTGAGATGTTAAATATTAGAGGTTTAGGACCCTTTGCTGATGGCTCAAATAGGGCTTTCTCTGATGACGGGTTGTGGTAGAACACTCAGGGGTCACACCATCCTGACTGCAGTTACAAAGCAGGGAGCAGGTACTCTGTCCTTCCTCCTCAGGGCCAAAGATTGGGGTGAATGCTTCCCAGTTTAGTGGTCTACCCTTTGGTTCCAGCCCATGGGAGGAGTGACTTACCTATCAGTGTGGTCTAGGTGAGTATGACATTTCCATGGCCTCCTATACCTGAAGCAGGCGACTGCACGGAGACCAACTAGAACACATACCATGGACACTCGCTTACAGCCTGTCCTCAGCCTTTGTGGCTTCTCTGGTCTTCCCTTCTCTATGGAAGTGGAGCTCAGGCAGGATCTACTTCTGGCAGCCCACCCTGGCAGCCCATCCTGTCCCTGCTCTCCCTGGTCCCGCTCTCTCACCTATACCAAAGCCACTCTTCATTGGGAGGGCCAGTTGTTTCCAGCTCAAGAGGAGTAGTGTGTGAAGACAACTAGCAGTTAGAACCCTCCTAGAGCCCCACACAGAGTCCAGGTCCATCCTGTTAATGAGGAACCCTGTGTTTGGGATAGTAAAACCTTTACTAGTATCCTGCCCAATGTGGTGGCTCACACCTATAATCCCAGCACTTCGGGAGGCTGAGGCAGGCAGATCACTTGAGGTCAGGAGTTCATGACCAGCCTGGCCAACATGGTAAAACCCTGTCTCTACTAAAAATATAAAACTTAGCCAGGTGTGGTAGCGGGCACCTCTGGTCTCAGCTACTAGGGAGGCTGAGGCAGGAGAATTGCTGAAACCCAGGAGGCAGAGGTTGCAGTGAGCTGACATCGTGCCACTGCACTCCAGCCTAGACAGCAGAGTGAGATGCCATCTCGGTGGTGGGGGAAGAAACCTTTACTAGGATTCTCTTTGTACACTTCCCAACTGGTTAAAACCGCTAGATAAAGAGGGCATGGTTAGCACCAACCCACAGACTGCCTTTAAACCTGCCTTCAGAGTCAACAAAACCTCCTTGTTTTTTATTATGGGTCATATACATGGCTTATACATTGATCCCTCTTGAAACGTCATGCTCTGGCAGGTTACTGCAAAGCAGGTGCCATAAAGTCTCCAGGGACGTACTGTTCTCTCATAGACTTCAATTTTTACTGCACAAAGTGGATTATGCCTCACACACTGCACGTTCCACTACCTTATGAGTCATTGTGAAAATCTCATTTAGTCCTATTTAGGATTTAGTCCAGGGCTTTGATACAGAGTGTGTTGGTTTGTAACTGTTCTCCTATAAAGGAAAAATAAAGGCATAAGAAATTTTTACTATGGAGTGGAAAACATCATATAACATAAAGAATCTTAATTGGGAAAGAAAAAAAAAGTCTCCACAGGATTAGAGGTGCAGCTGTTACATGTTGACTTGCACTTCTTATCATGAAAATGGGATAGAGCGTCGCCTCTCTCGTCCTGGGCTCAGCAAGCTTCGTGCACCTTCCAGCAAAGTACAGTCTTGTTATTAATGCAGACCCTTGGGCTCCACCCCATGCTGAAGTGGAAGCCTTGTTTTGAGAAGACCCCCATGTGATTCTTAATGAGTGACACTAATGCTGAAGAAGCCCATCTTCAGAACAGTGCTTCACAAAGTTGAGTGTGCATTCAAATCACCTGGAGGGCTTGTGAGAAGCAGATTCCTGGAGTCCTCCCTTCAGAGATTCAATTTGGCAGGCCTGGTTGAAAGCTGATCTCATCTGCCAGTCATCTGCCCATTTTAGCTTTCTCCTGAGCTAGAAATGCAGACTTTAGTCCACATGGCATCTGGTGAATGAAGATATGTCCTTGAGCAGCCCCAGACTGCATACATGGGTAAGCTTCAGTGGGACCTGCCTCAGAGCAGCCCCAGTGCAGCAGCACTGGGTGCAGATGGCCCGTACCCTGGGCTACTTGTCTCTGGAACAAAGTGCTGGGCTTAGTCACTCTCCTGGCCACTGCCCTGCAGGCTGGCACAAGGCCCTTTCCCAGCAGACTCCATTAGGGCCTGGGGCTCCAGTCCAGTCTGGAAATTGTTAATCAGAGAGACATGGTGTAACTTCTTCTATATCAGTGCAAATTCAGTCTCACCTTCCCTGTCTCTGCCCATGGTCTAGTCACTTCCCCTTGAAGGTCCCTAGCCAGAAAAGGCTCAACTAGGGCCCCTTCCCTTGGGAGCCCATCACACCCCTTTCCTAAGAATGCTCAATATACTAAGGTTTTCTAACGGAGACTTGCTGGGTTGATGCCCAGGTGTACATACCTTTAGATGGGGCTTCTCTGAAGATCACAGCATGACTTTCTAGAATTCTCTAGCTGTAAGTAACAGGAGAAAAACAAAAACTTCACTCTCCCATCAGGGATGTCACTATCTAATTAACCTTCTTTAAATTTTTTTAAAAAATCTCAGTTCTTATTAAGGCCTTTTTCTTCAGTCCTGAAACTCTCAGCCTATAACATCTCAAGCTGTATCATTTCTTTTGTTTGTTTGTTTGTTTGTTTGTTTGTTTTTTGAGACGGGGTTTCGCTCTTGGTACCCAGGCTGGAGTGCAATGGCGCGATCTCGGCTCACCGCAACCTCCGCCTCCTGGGATCAAGCAATTCTCCTGCCTCAGCCTCCCTAGTAGCTGGGACTACAGGCGTGCGCCACCATGCCCAGCTAATTTTTTTATTTTTTAGTAGAGACGGGGTTTCACCATGTTGACCAGGATGGTCTCGATCTCTTGACCTCGTGATCCACCCGCCTCGGCCTCCCAAAGTGATGGGATTACAGGCGTGAGCCACCGCGCCCGGCCTTGTAGCTGTATCATTTCTTAATGTTATTTCCAGGATTAAAATCTTATCACTGGCTATGAGAACCGGTAAAATGCTTATACACAGTAAAGATATGTTTAAAGTCTGTGCATGTGATTTACATAAAAGAGAAATACATGCAGTGAGATAAACACTCTCTCTTGAGCCATGATATCTTTCATTGTATCAGCCCACATATTTCATTAATTTTAATTATCTATGCAATTGTAGGAACAGAATTAACAGGTTGATGAGACTGGGGACAATGGACTTTGCCTGGTTTGGAAAGATCTGCTTTGGAAAAGTGTGCCTTTTCAACTTGATTTGAATTGGCACGCTTTAGGGAAGAAAATGGGAAGATATATTCAGGATCCAGATTATTGTACTTGGTAAAAGCTGAGTTCCCTGGAGGTTTCCAGAACACCAGTCAAGGGTTATGCAGAGGAGCAATACGTGGCCTTTTTAACTCTTAACTGTGAAATTCAGGGAGCATCCTACTGCAGGCAGGCAAAAGCTGAGCACAAGGTGTTCACGGCCAGTCCATTCAATCATCCTCATTCACTTCCTTCTATAAGTTTGGAGGAAGGATATATCCAGGTTTACCAACTGGAAGTATTTTGTATGATAAATAGCAGAAAAACACGATCCCAACTAGCTGAAAAAATTCCTGACAAATCCAAAGGCATGACCAAGCTTAGCTCTGGTTGGGGCAAGCGGTTAAAACTCAGGTGAGCAGGGCCCGATTTCCTTTTCACTCACTTTTCAAGATGGCTGCTAAAAGCTCCTGAGGCTCCATGATTCCTCTTCCACACTCTTCATGAAAGCAAGGTTCTCTGTTCCAGAATTCCTAGGAAAAGTCCTCAAGTTAATTGACCTAGCTGAGATGCTTAGCTAAACTGATTAACCACAAATGAGGGGAGGGAAGCCCTAAGTGACTTGGGCCTGGATCAGAGCCCAGCCCCAAGCCAGCTCAGGGAACTAGGATGCTCTGGTGTAAGACACTCCTTAGCAGTGGAGGTGAGCATGATCCCAGGCAGCCCTCTCCATTGCTACAAACCCAGTCACAACATGGAGAACTAAGAAGTGAGGTGGGAAGGTGTATGCAGGAAGATGTGTACTCATATATCATGGCTTTTATCTCCTGTGGAAAGAAGAATTCCCAAATCTGCTGTCTTCATCTGTAACCCAAGTGTGGGAATGATTTAGAGAGGTGAGTCTGTGGGAGAAAGAATGGTGGGGAGACGAAAGCAGCTCTGAGGCCCTCTAGCTTTTGGCTGATAAGTATGTTTTTTTCAGAGGAATGATTTGACTCAGGAACAGCCTCAAATAGCATCTTCATTTATAGTAGCAAGCTGACTAATTTCCTTGAGAATCCATTTAGGGTTTCTGTTACCAAGGTAGGCTTGAAGTGTAGCTTCAGGTGAGAACACTTACTCACAGATGCTGAAAGTGAGAAATATTGTATTTTTATCTCCACGTAATTACTATGTGTATCTTCACAATTCTGTATTAATAGTATAGTGAAACATAGGGAGAAAGCATGTACTCATGAACAGGAAATGTATGATCTTACAACATTTTCCATGTGTTTATAAAGGAAGGGTTATGTGTGTGATGACTAGAAAACGTCTAGAAATATAGCTAGGCTTTTGGCAAAGAAGTGACTGTTTTGATTGTTTAGAATAGAGTTGATTATGAGGCCCCAAATAAATATAGCTTAAGAAATACAAAATGAAGCCTGATATCTAGTCCTTAGTTCAGATCTCAAGTGTTTAGTCATGAATGAATGGTTTTTGGTGGGAATTTATGACAGTGTGCCAGATTCACAACGTGATTTTCAAGGCTTTCAGTTATTTTCTCTTTCAACCATAAGAGCTATTTTAGCCAATTTTTATAATTATTACTCTCTTCTGCTTGTCAGCCTGAAAGTTTGCATAAAGAAAACAGCCAGTGTGTGTCATGAATCATTCACGTATAAATCCTGACAAATCCAACACAGGGCTACAAAAACTGGATGTATATAAAAGATGGGTTGGACTTACAAAATAAACACAGTTCACAAATTTAAGTAATCACATAATTTACTCCTTGTTTTTTCTGATGACTTTTTTTTTTCCCAGAACCGAATGGAGGAAAGCAAGGCTCTCTTTAGAACAATTATCACATATCCCTGGTTCCAGAACTCCTCGGTGATTCTGTTCTTAAACAAGAAAGATCTTCTAGAGGAGAAAATCATGTATTCCCATCTAGTTGACTACTTCCCAGAATATGATGGTAAGTCAATACTCATGCAACAACTCAGTGAATAGGTTTTGTCTCCAGACAGCAGTGTGGGAGTTAATGCCCTACAGCATACCGTTACTGCCCTTGCCCTGTGCAGCCTGCTTGTTGGGACTGATACAGTGCAAATTATTGTTTGCCCTGTCTTTTAATGACATGAAACATTTCATTCCTTAATAATGCTTAAAGTCATAGAAATTCATCTGCTTTGAAATAGAACAGAAAAAGGAACAATCAAGCAGTTTTGACCAATTATGTGTCAGCTGTTATCATCCCTCTCTCCGTTTCATCTGGTTAGAGTCCACCTCTGCCTCTCCTTTCTCTGGGGAGAGAACACAATTTTGAAGTCAAGAGCCCACCACTGAAATCAGTCTACCCAGGTTCAGATCCCACTTCTGACACTTCCTATTTGTAGAACTACCATCAAGTTACTTGATTTTTCTGGGCTTTAGGACCAAACTCATGGGATTGTTTTGTATAGTATAGTATGTAACATGTGTGTACATTTAGCATGATGCCTGACACATAGGACACATAGTGAATACTTGGGAAATACTTCTTTTAAAATTTCATAGACCAATGAAGTCCTACAATCCTTAGTAATAGTAACCCAGTTTTAAGCTCTTTGTACAGCACTTAGAATTTATAGCGCTCTCTTTACTACTCCTACGGCGTTGCATTATTTGCTTTGTCCTTAGGAAAGGATCTTACCCTCCCCAACTAGACTGTGAAATCCTGGACAACTAGACATGCAACCCATTCTGAGAAACACTTGGTGATTGGTAACAAAATGCAGCCACTCTGTTAAACAAGTGAGAGTCACAACTACTTCCCTAGAAGAGCTGATGTGACCAGGTGTGGTTATTCACACCTGTAGTCCCAGCACTTTGGGAGACGAAAGTGAGAGGATCACTTGAGCAAAGGAGTTCAAGCCCAGCCTGGGCAATGTAACAAGACCTCTTTATACAAAAAATGAGGCAGTAGGTCAAGGCTACAATGAGCTGCGATCATGCCACTGTACTCCCGCCTGGGTGATAGGGTGAAACCCTGTTTTTTGGCAAGATAATCACATCTACCCCTATGGCCCACTACCTGGCTTTATGAATAAAGTTTTATCGAGACATAGCCACACCCATTCATTATACACTGTCTATAGCTGCTTTCATACCACAACCACAGAATTGGGTAATTTTGACAGAGAGAGAATAGTTGCAAAGCCTAAAATACTCTCTAGCCCTTTATAGAGAAAATTTGCCAAGCCATGGTCTACATAGTAGTTAAGAGCACAAGCTTGGAAAAGTTCCACTTCGCCACTCGCCGGCTTTGTTGCCTCTAGACAAATTTATTTAGCTACTTAGCTTATCTTGGTCAAAAAAGACATGAATGGAGTCATATGTAGATCACATAGCAGAAACCCAAAAGTCTCTATCCTAGCAGTCATGTAACAAGCGAAGAGACTATTTTTAAAATTACATATGGATATCAACATATGATATGCAGGATGGATATCAGTTCTAGTGTTTCTGTACTTCCTAAAAGCTCCCTCAGAAAAGTAATTACTTTAAAAACCATGATTAAATTTAGCTTCATAGCTTTCTATGATGATACAAACACATCAAGTTTGGAGGTTTAGTCATCTTTTCATCCCACATGGATGTGGTGCAGTGCTGGCTTGTGAAGGGGAACTGTAATATGTTAAATGAATTGAAGTTCTCAAATACATACAAGTTGCTAAAGGTTGGTGAATTGAAAATACAAATACTTGGGGATGTTACCAGATGTTAGAAATGGTATCCTTTTTTGTTAGCAGTGTGTTCATAGCCTCTCTTCAAGTACATTTTCCTTTGTGCTTTACTGTTCTTTTAAAAACACTTTCTCAGTCTAAACGGTGTTTTCTCTTTCACTCCTTTTAATTTGCACTAACCTGGAAACAAATAATCAGTGCCTGAGACTGCACTTCTCAGTGTTGCTCAGGAAACTATGGAATGAGGTGACTGTGTGTGTAAACTTGCTTTCCCACCTCAACAGGCTTCAAACACATCTACCTGAATACAGTAGGCATGAAGCATCTGGCTTAGATCTAAACACACTTGCCTCACACACACACACACACACACACATTCTTTTCTTGAAACTTGGTAAGAATCAGCATGTGAGAAATTGCCGCACCATACATAACACCCCATCTTGTGGGCCGACTCATTTTCATGATGCGCTTGCATAACGGAGCATGCAGAACAGATAGAGCACGGTGCCCATGGAGCTGAACTCCTCTGAGGGGTTCATTCAAGCTTCTCAGATGCAGCAGACCTAGCCACACTTCCCAGTGACTCATTTTTCCGCCATAAAAGACTTAGTCTGTGATCACTGTTTGCAATGCTGTTTTTTTGATGTCGTACCATCTTCCTAATCTCTTCACATACCTTCTCTCTCCAATAATTTCCCCAGATTCCCCACCACTACAAGCATTTTCCTTCCAACATGTGCCCATTGTGAATATCTTTAAATCTGAAGATTTTCTTTTTCTGTTACCTTACCCCATTGTACACATAATACACAGAAGAAACTTGGCCATGGAAAAAGAAAAAAAGACACTGATTTTGTTACTTACAAGCTAGTGTAGCTGTCATTACATGAAACTCCAAGCCCTTGTAAGATAAGCAAAGACTGAAAAAATTGAGGCCCACTCTGCAGTGATATTTTTATAATAAGCATGTTTATAATATTATAAATTTCACACTTCCACATTTCTGTACTTACAAGGTCTTAATCATAATGAATACCACTTCTGTATCTCTCTTCAAGAAAGGAAATTACCATTTCCACATGGACTTGAATTGCAGGATTGTTCATAGAGACTGTGGAATTCTGCTCCTGCTGTGATGGCTGTAATGATTTCTTTGTAGTGTATGTTTATTCAAATAACAATATATGCTTACAAATATAACACCTTTCAAGTGCACTTTAGTGAACTTGGATCTAGTTCTTATATTCTGTAGGGTAAATTAAAAAAAAAAAAAGTTATAGTCCCTTCTTTCCCAGATAAAGTACAAAATCATATAGAAGTTCATTCATAAGCCAGAAATATAATGTTCTTTTTATGAAATAAGAGACTTCTCCAGCTCTGGCAATCTGTTAGTTTCTGGTTTCAAATATTTTTTATTACTTCTCTGGAATTAATAAGTTAACAGTACACTGAAAAAGATGGAACATTAATTATATATATATATATTTGCTTGTATATTTTACATACTGTTTTTAGTTGTACTTTTTTTATCTATTAAATATGATGCCAGCCATCTTAGTCATGTAAAAAAATTGAATTCTGGGCACCTACATCAAAATTCAAATATTACTTTTTTTAATTGTGCAAATGAGGATAATATATAATCTGTTTGTTTTCATAACTCTTTCCTCCCAACTTCTGGCATTATCGGATATAAGCTTTATAGGAGTAATCTCCAATTTATAAACCGGTTGGTTTGAGAATAATTCAAGTCAGCTGTCTGAAACTCAGGGAGTTTGTTAGAAATGGTAGTCAAGCCCTCGATAGAGTTCTCTAAGATCTCTTTATCCCTACTAGCAGGTAACAAGAATATTGATAGAAAAAAAAACCTGCCAGGTGTGGTGGCTGATGCTTGTAATCTCAGCACTTTGGGAGCCGAGGTGGGCAGATCTCTTCAGGCCAGGAATTCGATACCACCCTGGCCAATATGGTGAAACCCCGTATCTACTAAAAATAAAAAAATCAGCCGGGCGCCGGTAGTCCCAGCTACTCAGGAGGCTGAAGCAGGAGAATCACTTGAACCCAGGAGGCAGAGGTTGCATTGCGCCGAGATTACACCACTGTACTCCAGCCTGGGCAACAGAGCTAGACTTCGTCTCCAAAAAAAAAAAAAAAAAAAGTTTCTTATACACCTAACTCGAAAAAATGGGAGGAAATGCATATATAAAGTAACACGAAGACAAATACGATAGTTGTCCAATACTTGAATGACTCAAAAGGTGATGGTGTTTTTATGTTATTAATTTGTAATAAGTTTTAAATTACTATGTGTATCAGGACCTATTAAATACAGTTTTAAAACGTCTTTGAGATTATTTACATACCATGTAATTCATTTAAAGTGTACAACTCGGTGGGTTTCGGTGGCTCAAGCCTGTAATCCCAGCACTTTGGGAGGCCGAGGCCGGTGGATCACGAGGTCAAGAGATCGAGACCATCCTGGTCAACATGGTGAAACTCCGTCTCTACTAAAAATACTAAAAATTAGCTGGGCATGGTGGCGTGTGCCTGTAGTCCCAGCTACTCAGGAGGCTGAGGCAGGAGAATTGCCTGAACCCAGGAGGCGGAGGTTGCGGTGAGCCGAGATCGCGCCATTGCACTCCAGCCTGGGCAACAAGAGCGAAACTCCGTCTCAAAAAATAAAAATAAAAATAAAAAAAATTGAAAAAAAAATTTTTTAAATTATGATAAAATAAATTTGCCGTATTTACATTTTTAAATGCACAATTCACTGGCATTAATTACACTCACAATACTGTGCAGCCATCACCAGTATTTTCAAAATGTTTTCACCACCTTATTTAAGCAACAACACCCCATTTCCTTCCTCCCTCTAACCCTTGAGAACCTCTAACCTACTTTGTCTTTGTAAATTTACCTAGTCTAAGTACCTCATGTGTGCGTGTACAATATTTGTTATTGTATGTTGGGCTTATTTAGTATAATGTTTTCACAGTTCATGCATATTACAGCATCTATCAGAGCTTTACTCTTTTTATGACTGAATAATATTGTTTCTGATATTTTAATATTCTGTTTGGTTCTGTTTTGTTACTCTATTTATTGATGGACAGTTAGATTGTGCTCACCTTTTGGCTGTTGTTAACAATGCTGCTATTAAAATTGATGTACATTGCTTCTTGCCCTTTTAGCTAAGATCAAGTGTCTATCAGAGCCCCTGCTCTCAGTTCCTTTGGCTGTATACACTGGAGTAGACCAGCTGGGTTGGTCTTATGGTTATTCTGTGTTTAGCTTTATGTGGAACCACTGAACTATTTTCACAGCAGCTGCATGTTTGTACATTCCCACAAACAGTGCACAAGAGTTCAAATCTCTCCACATTCTCTGCAGCCCTTGTTATTTCACACTTTTTATAGCCATTCTAGGAGTTGTGAAGAGGTATCTCATTCTGGTTTTGATTTGCATTTTCCTAAATGATTACCAGTGTTGAACATCTTTTCCTGTGCTTATCAACCATTTGTATATCTTCTTTAGAGAAATGTCTGTTCAAGTCTTTTGCCTATTTTTAAATTGGGTTGTTACTGAAATGTAGGAGCTCTTTATATTCTGGACACTAAATCCTTATCAGATGACATGATTTGCAAATATTTTCTCCCATTCTATGTGTTGGGTTTCCACTTTCTTAATAATGGCCTTGGCTAGGTGTGGTGGCTCATGCCTGCAATCTCAGCACTTTGAGAGGCTGAGGTGGGAGGATTGCTTGAAGCCAGAAGTTCAAAGACCAGTCTGGATGACACAGACACCATCCTTACAAAAAATTTGAAAATTAGGCATGGAGGCACTTACTTACAGTTCCAGCTATTCAGGAGACTAAGGCAAGAGGATCACTTGAGCCCAGAAGGTTGAGGCTGCAGTGAGCCATGATCATGCCACAACACTGTTGGGTAGCAGAGCAAGACCCTGTCTCAAAAAAAAAAGAAAAAGGTCCTTGAATACACAAAAGTTTTTAATTTTGATGAAGTCCAATTTATTTTTCCTTTTGTGAAAAATATGACCTGTGCTGTGGTGTCACATCTAAGAATCCACTGCAAAGTTACATTTTTGGTTTATCTTGCTAGATATATCACAGTCCTTTTTCAAAGCATCTAGGGGAATTCTTGGTACACAAGATTTTTTTTTTTTTTTGAGATCACTCTGTTACCCAGGCTGGAGCGCAGTGGCATGGTCTTGGCTCACTGCAACCTCCGCCTCCCTGGTTCAAATGATTTTTCTGCCTCAGCCTTATAGTTGAGACTACAGGCATGTGCCACAATGCCCGGCTGATTTTTATAGGTTTAGTAAAGATGGGTTTCACTATGTTGTCTAGGCTGCTCTTGAACTCATGATCTGCCCGCCTCAGCCTCCTAAAGTGCTAGGATTACAGGTGTGAGCCACCGCACCCAGCCAAGAGACTCCTTCTTAAAGTGTAAGAAAATATAGGCCAGACGTGTGGCTCATGGCTGTAAATCCCAGCACTTCGGGAGTCCAAAGTGGGTGGATCACCTGAGATTAGGAGTTCGAGACAAACCTGGCCAACATGTCAAAACCCCAGCTCTACTAAAAATACCAAAATTAGCTGGTATGATGGCAGGCACATGTAATCCCAGCTGCTTGGGAGGCTGCAGGAGAATCACTTGAACCTGGGAGGCAGAGGTTGCAGTGAGCTGAGATCTCATCACTGCCCTCCAGCCCGGGCCACAGAGTAAGACTCAATTTCAAAAAAAAAAAAAAAAAAGAAAGAAAATATAAACCAATTGTTCTGTCATCACACATGAACTGAATGCTACATAACTGAACATAGTGTGCTCACAAATACCAGAAGTCTATGGAAGTGAGACTGCAAAGGCCCATTGTAAACAGACCTGACCTTACAAACAGGAGTTCTATTCTAAGACAGAGGTCAGTCTGGAAGACGGAAAATGATCCATAATGTTGGGTCGTTTGGAGGGCAGATTGACAGGAGAGCCCAAGGCAGCTGTGTCTTTGTGCATATTTATTATATAGCTGAAACCAACATAACTCAGTTGAGCAGAAATAAGCTATCACTCCCCTCATGGAGAGCCCACATGGTGGCTTTCTATCAGGGAATCAGAGTGAAGGCCAGAGCTAAGAAATAAAAGGCTTGGTGTTCAAGTCATCTGTCTGCTTTCACCTATCCACACTTTGTGAATGCATGGATGGATGGATGGACAGATGGTCGGTCAGACATACTAGTGTTAGGGAAAATCATTATAACAGATCAAATCTGCAATGCAGATGTAGGCTTCATGAGCAATGACATAGTAAATATTTATTGAACAAATGATAGTTGAATGCATTAGCAGATTAGGTAACAAAGTGTCCCTCTTGTCTCTTGGCCAAAAGGACCCCAGAGAGATGCCCAGGCAGCCCGAGAATTCATCTTGAAGATGTTCGTGGACCTGAACCCAGACAGTGACAAAATTATCTACTCCCACTTCACGTGCGCCACAGACACCGAGAATATCCGCTTTGTCTTTGCTGCCGTCAAGGACACCATCCTCCAGTTGAACCTGAAGGAGTACAATCTGGTCTAATTGTGCCTCCTAGACACCCGCCCTGCCCTTCCCTGGTGGGCTATTGAAGATACACAAGAGGGACTGTATTTCTGTGGAAAACAATTTGCATAATACTAATTTATTGCCGTCCTGGACTCTGTGTGAGCGTGTCCACAGAGTTTGTAGTAAATATTATGATTTTATTTAAACTATTCAGAGGAAAAACAGAGGATGCTGAAGTACAGTCCCAGCTCATTTCCTCTCTATCTTTTTTTTAGGCAAAACCTTGTGACTCAGTGTATTTTAAATCCTCAGTCATGCACTCACAAAGACAAGACTTGTTTCTTTCTCTCTCTCTCTCTTTCTCTTTTCTATGGAGCAAAACAAAGCTGATTTCCCTTTTTTTTCCTCCTAATCCATACCTCCCTGATTTTTTTCCCAGGTTAAAATGGCCTTTATCCTAGTTCCATTCTTGGTCAAGTTTTTCTCTCAAATGATACAGTCAGGACACATCATTCGATTTAAGCCATCAGCTTAATTTAAGTTTGTAGTTTTTGTTGAAGGATTATATGTATTAATACTGTGGTTTTAAATGTACTGCTCTGGATACACACATAGTTTCTTTTTTAATAGAATATGCTGTCTTGTCTCACTTTGGACTGGGACAGTGAATGCCCATCTAACAGTTAAGTGTCATTTGCTTTAGATGTTTACCTTCAGCCATAGCTTGATTGCTCAGAGAAATGTACAGAAGGCAGGGTCAAAGACACACAGGAGTCCTTTCTTTTGAAATGCCACGTGCCATTGTCTTTCCATCCTTCTTTGCTTTTTTTTTTTTTCACCCTCTCTTTCAATTGCAGATGCCAAAAAAGATGCCAACAGACACTACATTACCCTAATGGCTGCTACCCAGAACTTTTTTATAAGTTGTTCTTAAATTTTTTTTTTTTTTTTTTTTTTTGGTTCAAACGTTTCCTTTCTCTTTCTTCCTTAGTGTTTGGGCCACAATTTTAAAATGATTTTTATTATTGGTATGTGTTGCCAAAGCTGGCTTTTAGTCAAATAAAATGAATAGGAAGAACTTAAAAAATAAAAGCTGGTATCTTAAAATGAAGAGAGTAGGACTGTGAAGCCTAAAATGAGTGGCTGAGAATGAACCAGAAAAGCCAGTTGCCAAACAGTTGGTAACTGTAAATTCGATTCTCATGGTCCATTTTTTTCTTTGCCTTTAAGATGACATTGTTAGTGTTCATGTCCCATGTTCAGTGTCCAAACTGGCAATGTAGAAAAGTACCCTGTGTGGTTTAACAGGAAATCTGTTTATGTCTCTTTATCTGAAACCAGCTTCACTCTCAATGGTTCCTTAAGTTCAGTTAAGTCTGCCAGGAACACTGGTTGACAGTACTGTTCTAACACCTTTAATTTCCCAAATCTCAAGTTTCTTCTCATTTACCACGTTTCAAGGTCTTCTTGAACTGGTAACTGGTTAGGTTGAACTTAAGAACGATTTGTGGACTTAACTCAAAAGTAACCTCTCAGTGTTCTATAGAACATGTATTTGTGTAACTGAACCTGCTAGGAGAAATGTTTGAAATTCTGTGTGTGCAATTTTTCAACAAATGCAAAAAAAAAAAAAAAAATACAGCACATATACTGAGAAGCTTCTGTCAAGCAGCTTCAGTTGAAATTTGATTTAAGAAAATAAATCATGATTGTTTAAAGCTGCTGGGACCTTAGAGTTAGGTCTTGATACTGGTCTCATTTTAACTATAGTGGTATTTGGCACTAGTCTAAACTTCCATATAAATCACTCTTGTGGAACAGAGTAGGAGGGAGAAAATTAACGGCCTGTTATTTAAGTACCAAAGCCGCCAAACGTAATGAAATGTTCTCATTCTTCATTCTCTTAGCTTCAAACAACACAGTTTACTTTTTTCCCCCTTGCTCAGAAAGCACCTGTAATTTAACAAACAGACTGCCTGTAGGTATAGTGCAATTACGAATGCTCTAATCATTGTACATACATCTCTTTTGAGATTGCAGCATCCATACTGGCTTTGTAATCATTAATTTTTTGGCAGATTGAATGTGCTGTATTGATATGTATCTATGTAATTGTATTGTATGTCTATAGCTAAATTCACATTTTGAATAATGTTATTTTATTTACTTTTTTAAGAGAGGAGAATGTAAATTTGTCAGTTTATTTCTGACTAGGGATATTTTCTTTCCATTTAGAAAAGAAGAAAAAAACCTTACTGTCGTACAGAGCGGTACTAGCATCGTGCTGTATAAAATCATTTGCACATTCCTGAGTAGAGGTATACTGATTATAAGACCCAAAGGCAATTTCATAGCAAAATACATAAAATCAGTCGGAGCTTTTATACAAACATGGAAACCAACTTTGTAGAACTTTTGCCATTTGATCTAGGATTGGAATATGAGCTTTTATACAATTCATATTCTTATTTGGCAAATGCACAGTTTAGTATTACCTCTCTGATGGCCTTTACTAGAAAGGCAGTTTTAGAAGCTATTGTGATCCACTAAGGAAATGTTTTAACAGCTAGAGACCACTGCTTGCCTGAAAGGGCGTTCTTAAATTTGGTGCAGCAAAAAAAAAAAAAAAAAAAAAAAAAAGAAAGGAAAAAAAAGTAAACAACATCATTTGAAGGCCTACAGTGTGTATAGAGAAAACCTCTTCACAAGATCATAAGTGTTACAGTTTTAGGGAATCAAGATATTCTATTTAATAGAGCTATAGTAGATGTAGTCAATTAAACCTGATCTCAAAGCTCGAAGAAGCTGAGCAAAACAGGGAAAGATTGTTATATTTGTCTTTATGAAATTGGGATGGAATTTGCTATGCAGAATTAAGGTTTGTGGCTTCACTGTTCCTATAGGGTGCATGACAAGATCCCTTCTCTTGAGAAAGGAAAAAATTGATCACCCTAGCAGCAGTGATGCATAGAAACCTAATTGTAGCCACACTAGTCAATCGAAGCTAAAGGATTTTCTTTTTTGTTTCTTTGGGGTTTTATTGAAGGGGCTAGGGGCGGGACGGGATTCTTTTCAGTTTTGTATAAAAACAAAGTTTACTCATGCTTTATATTATATTGTGATTGCAAGCGTTATAAGCGTGTGCCACTGGCCTCCTCTTGTTGATGCTTAGGTATTGGAGGCCTGTGGTGAGTTTTATGGTGACTTGGGCATGTCTTATTCAAAAACAAAAACATAAAACACAGAAACCTTTCTTCAGCATACCAAGGCAAGCAGCCATTTCATGACTCACTTAACACATTGCAGTGTACCAGTTTACAGATGATTTTTCCCTTTTTGCGTGACATGGCAGTTCCAACCCTCAGAGAATTCCTTATTTGTAAATTGGAAGTTTCTACTATGCCTTACAGAGCCTAAATTCAGAAGTTTGTGCCTCATATCTGAAACAAAGGGAAATAACACACCCATTCAAAAGTAAATAAATCTAGAAGTTTTTGGTTTTTAACATTTCCATATAAAGAGCTCTGTTGAATGTCATGTATAGACTGGAAAAAAAATCTTAGGGACCTGCATATGTTGTTTACTAGCAGATGACAACTACAAAAGGAATTTGAAGAACACGTGAAACTTGTATTATTTTTTTTTTTGGTAGATTAACTAGCAGGCCTATTTTAAAAAAGGTAATTCAGCTAAAGGGCAATTTACTTTTTTGTACTTCAGACTATCTTGATTGTCAAAGTGTACGAACTGTAATTTTAAAATTTATACTGCCACATGATTGTAAATTTTAGTTGTCTTAAGTTAGGATTTGGTGAAAAGCTATTTATGCTGGATTTGGGTCAAAATGACTTATTTGCAAAAAAAAAAAATAAATAAATAATGGGAAGAAAGGGCTGTATAATGAAATACTGCAAGACTCACATATTGGTTGGAAATTTCCCTCAAATCACCTACCGATTATCCTTGATTTCCCTTTGTTTTCAGTTTATCAAAAAGAACGAATGAAATGAAATATAGCAGAATGTTAACCCATATAAAAATAAAGTGTACCCAAATACTGTAATGTATATTGCTGCTCTTATTCAAATTAAATAAGGGTTTAAAACCACTTAATTGGTAATCAACATAAATTGATACAAATAAGGTGTGCTTGATATACATTAATATTTTCTTCCAAAGAGATCTCTTTGGTTAGAAATACACACAAAAATTAATTAAAACTAGTAATACTGTATATTTATCTATCTACATATTTCCAGCATATGTAGCGTTAATAGATCTGTCCTGGTAACTGTGTCTTTGGGATTTCATTTTGGTTCCATCAAATTAGGAAAAGAAATGGCTTAGTTGTATATGATTAGCTAGAGATTTTTGGAGCCAGACACCTGCTGTGTAGTAGATAACTTAGTACAGAGTCTAAACTTGTCAGTTGTTTTTCTCACAAAATAGCCATTTCCTGCTGTCTTCCCAATGATCACTGCCCTTTCAGTAACACTCTTGCCTCTAGAATCATATGTTCAAAGTATGAATACACACCTAGCACATAGTAGGTGCTCAAATATTAATTTCCTTCTTGCCTTCCTTATCTACCCTGTGTCCTCCATTTTCCCCTGTATGATTCCAACCCAATAGCAAATGACATTGACATGTTATGAATACATCTATTGGGTAAAATTGGATCTTGGATAAAGAAATTCTGACTTACGTAAGCTTTTGGTAGACAGAAAAACAGAAAGGTATTCATCGGTAGAACATTTTTAAGTTCAGGAAAGGAAGCTGGAATAGTACTATGTAACTTTGTCCAGGTTACTTTGAAACAAACATTTTTGGTGGATTTCTTTTCCTCAAAGAATTCTCTAAATGCAACTCCTTGCTGGATTCCTCACCTGTCATGTTGGAAACCCTTACTAGACCTATGTATTTAGGGAGTTTTGTCAGAAAACATTTTTAACTTGCAGTATTTAAAAGAATCATATTTACTGTTCTTAAAATGTCATTCAAATGCATGTATTGTCTATTGTTTGGGGATGGGAACTAGTTTTGCAAAAAACACCTAATGTTGTATAATAATGCCCCAATGATCTTGCTGGTTAAAAATACAGTATTTTTGGCCATAATTTTGTACCATAGTATTCTTCATTCTTGAGTTTTGCTTCCGTTGAAGTTGCCCGAGCCTCTCAGAATGCTTCGTATTAGCAGGAGTATTGAAATCCATCTTTCCTTTTAACACACCTTTTTGTGCACATGCGTATTCCAAAGTAAACAAGTTTAATGGTTTCCAAAAAGAAACACCAAATACCTTTTCCCTTCTGTGTATAATAAATGTAACAGCCTCCTTTAGTGGAAATATACCTATTGGTAGCATTTATCAAATTTGCTCTTTTTAAAAAACTTGCCTTAGATTATAATAAACTGTTTAAAAATTTAAATAACTGTCCAATAAAGATTTGAAAGGAGCCAGCAATCTTCAATCTGAGGCAGTCTTCTAATCAGTAAAAAGAATCCACACATCTGCCCTGGTTTGCTGGATAGCCCACTGGGCTCAGGCCAATGCCTGGCTTAAGAGTTTTGCTTATTTGAACACTGGCAGTGAGTGGGTAGACTCCACATGGGAAAAATGACCTGACACAGGTGTCCTCTGATTTTTAGAAACACACATCTAGGCTTTTGAGGTCAGCTAAAAATCAGCTGCTTCTAGGAGTTTAAGTGGAGGTAATGGTGGCAAATGGCTTTCTGGAAAACGGGTGCTTTTGTGGGGACTTCAAACCACAGCAAAAGCGAAACCTGTTCTTGTTACTTGTGAGTAAGTCATTCCAACTGGCAGCCAGCCCTTGCATATGGATTTTTGTTTTTCAGAATATGTCCCCTCTAAATACTTAGAGATGAGAGTGTCATTTTTGCTTAAAGGCCTTCAGCGTTCCTTGTGTGATTCAGAGACCATTTCCAGTCGATGGTGTCCTCTCGCTCTGTCTTACTGTCCAGGGAATGGCATGGCACTGACTGTCATCTAGCACGGCCCTGGAATGACAGTTCCCACCCCTATTTCCACAGAGACACTGGAGTCTTAAGCTACACACAAGCGCTCCCCTCTCTGGTTTTCTGACCTAAGCTTGACCCCTTTACGACCAAGATCTATCTGTATCATCATCCCAGAGACCCCCACCCAGAGGTAAAAAACACAAAGTTGCCGAAAACTGATGAGGCCAAATATTTTTACTTGACTTTCTGGCTCATAGAGCAAGCCCCCGCTGTCAAGATTGTTTTCTGTCCTTTCTGGAAGCAATAACAATAGTTGTCTCCAAAGCGTCTCTGCTTTACTCCCCATTTTTCCTGCCTTCTCACATTTGTCTCTCAGACTGTGATACCCTGAGTGCTGCCTCTTGAGAGACAATTAAACCATAACTGAAAGGTGGAACTTGATGCTAAGGAACAACCAGGTACACTGGATAATGTGTGCAGAGCAACTTCAGAGGGTAAACTAGCCAGTTCCTTTTCTCTTGTCTAATTTCAAATGATTATCATACTCACGAGTTTCTCCATATTTAAAGCCTTATTGAAATTTGGTCAGGGGTGGAGAGTGAAAGGCAGTGATAAGGAGTGGCTTTCTGGCTGATTTGTTTTAAATTACGCATTATCATTTTTTGTTTGTTTGTTTGTTTGTTTCATTGTCATGGCTAACTAAAACATAGGTCCAGCTATTGGGTAAAGAACTATACCCAGTCCATTTTAAGGGAGTCCCATGGGTTCCTGCAAAACAAGACTCGTTATAAAATGTAGGTCTCTTTAAAATCTAAGATGCATGAGTACTGAAGATAAGATGTGTTAAGTACTGAAAAGATTATTTTCCCTTTGAATTCTTATTTATGCCTCAAGACTATTGAAATTTGATCTCTGTTGATTTTTCTCTCTTCCTGTTTTCCTCAATAATGCAAAGACCGGCATATTTTTCTGTCTCCTAAGCCTGTGGATAAAATAAGGCAACTTATTCTCTTTAATCACACTGAACCATGTGAACAGAGAGCTGGAAGGCAGGGCTCCCAGGGTTCATGCCTCTTGTAGCCCTAGAGGAGCTGTTTTTGCAGCTCAGGAGATGAGGCCTGTCCCATAGAGACAGACTGCTTCAAGGGCCCTGGGGACTGACTGTCCATCTGTTTCCAGTTTGTCCATATGCTTGTATGTTGGGTCTTAAAAGCATCTTAAAAACAAGGTCTGCAAATGGAGATTCCACACTTTGTCCAGCTGCTAGGAAGCTAATGTAGCTGCTGACAAGACTGTGTGTCTGCCCTGAGATAAGCCTCACCTAGAAGGGCATATCTTTTGGGAATCCTGGCACTACCTGCCAACATATTGTTGAGTCAGGACACCACCCCAGACATGCCTGAGGTACAGGTGCCATGTCAGGCGTTACAGCATCAATGGTTATATTCTAGGAATCTGAACAGTCTTAGCAAAAGGGGCCAGGCTGCTTTCTGTGGGTTAGAAAAAGCCCACTCCAGTGGTGCCCTGGTAAATAGCGAGAGGGGGCGTCGCAGGAGTTACAGGATTGTGACACTGATTTCTCTCCCACCACGCCCAATATGAAGCTACCAATGTGATGTCACTGAGCTCAGAGTTGAGAAAAGATGCTGACATCTGGCTCTCAAGGTGCCCTGCGTGCCACCCTCAGGTCCTTTAGGTGATGCCTTTCTGTAAACCTGGAGAGTGTCAGCAGGACAGGCCACCCCTGCTTACTGCGCTGGAAGAATATGCATTCCTTCCCCTGTGATTTTGAGCCAATGACCAAAAAGCAAACTGGCCCCCTGATGGGCTCTGACAAGTGGCAGCTCTGCCGGAAATATAAAATATTTAAACTCGAATCCGTTTGGGCAGCAGATTTACCTAACACTTGCCGTGTGTGTGTGTGTGTGTGTGTGTGTGTGTGTGTGTGTGTTTGTGTGTGTGTGTGTTTTTTTTAATGTCTCCGCATCTCCAACCAACTCAATCATTGAACAAAGAGGAAAAGCCCACACCCATGTTCACGTCAGTTGAGTAAAGTCAATCCCAATATTTTTAAAAACATAATCTCTACATATATGTGGGTACACATGTAAAATCTCAAAATGGTTTTATCTTGTTGATGCTGATATACACACACAAATATCTGCACATCTAAACAGTGAGGCTTGCTTATCCCTATGGTTACTATAAGCATTTTATCTCATGGAAGGTAATTATTCCTATTGACATGATTAAGACTAAAAGTATCGTAAAACCCACAGCTCACGTTTCTTATTTAAAAACTATTCTCTCACCTCTTTTTCTATGTGCCGACTTTTCAAAACTCTGCCTTAATCTAGGAAAGAATACCTAATTATGGCACATTTAAAAAAACATGTTAAAGGACAGTTGAACTTAGACTGGGGCTTCATTGTCTCTGAGCAATCAAGGGAGGTATTTCCAGCAAACAAACTGAGTCTCAGATCAGGTACAAAAGCTGGATGAAATGTCTCATTACAAAAGCCACATATCGGGCACCCACTTCCTGTAGATGTATCGTTTCCATTCCTGAATTAAGTCTGCTTTGTGGTGTAGATTGCTTAATTCCTACTACAGATGATGAACTGCCAGAACACCAGGCACCTACCACACAGCTTATACAGAACTACAAACTCCAACAGTTTGGGGACTGTTCTTGTGTCATTTACTCTAACCTGCTGGAGGTGCCTCGCTGCACTTTCCATATCCACTGGTCCACCCAGGGGGTTGCTGCAGGCAGTTCAGGGCAGGAGACCCTGCACCCTTCTAGCATTCTCTGGCCACCAGCCAAAAACCAGGAGTTGATGCCTCAAGAGTGACATGACGGGCGAGGGACAGGAGTCCGTGGATGCACGCTTTGGCTGTTGGCCCTCAGTAGATAAACCTGAGGTTCATCCTACAAGTCTCTCTAGGTCCCCCAGAGCAGGACTCAGCCCCGGCTGCTGTCAGTGGAACTCAGTCACGAATATACCCTTTATCGGCTTTTCTCTCCGTGTGGTCTCACTTCTGTACTCTCTAGCGCAGTGCTTTATGGCATCACTTCTCAAACTCCGTGCACCTAAACTCCATACACAGGATCTACTTTGGGGAAAATCTCAGCTGAGACAGTGAGGATCGGCAGGTGGCTTTCATTGGCAAGGACAATGAAAATGGGATAATCAATAGGTCATAAATGAGGCTAGTAAACACTCTGCCTTGGACTCTCAACTGCAGCTGGTGGTTGAGGTTCAAAATTAGCACCTGGAACCCTAACATAATATGAATTTGCCACAAAGGCCCACGGTGGGAGATTTTGTGGAGAGAGAGACATAGACACATAGACACACACACACACACACACACCCCTGTACTAATACAATCTATACAATGTGATAAAACCTATTCAACACAAATCTATACAATAATAGTATGTTTATGAAAAAATATACATTTCTTAGAAGTTACTTGCAGAGGCCAGGCACAGTGGCTCATGCCTGTAATCCAAGCACTTGAGGAGGCCAAGGTGGGTGGACTGCTTGAGGTCAGGAGTTCGAGACCAGCCTGGTGAAACCTCGTCTCTACTAAAAGTACAAAAATTAGCTGGGCATTGTAGCTCGCGCCTGTAATCCCAGCTACTTGGGAGGCTGAAGCAGGAGAACCCCTTGAACCTGGGAGGCAAATATTGCAGTGAGCCAAGATCGTGCCACTGCACTCCAGCCTGGGCGACAGAGTGAAACTCTGTCTCAAAAAAAAAAAAAAAAAAAAAAGTTACTTCTACAGCATTTTAAAGCGATAAGCTAATAATTAATAATCATTATTTTAGAGGTGGAGGAGGGCTGTTTCACCATGTTGCCCAGGCTGGCCTTGAACTCCTGGCCTCAAGCACTCTTCCCAGGAACTTGGTGTCCCCAGTAGCTGGGACTACAGGCATATACCACTTCACTCAGCTAATAGTCACTTTTAATTGTTGAAGAAAAATGACTTAGACATTTTCACTTTACTCTCATCTTTTGAGAGGGATCCTGTACTCCCTTCCTCCACCTGCCTGGCAGTGGCCATTGACTCCCAGGATGAGCGCCACACCAGCCCTGAGTAATCGATTCCAGATGCTCAGGTCGCTGCC